CAGCAGAGAGCTGGATCGGAAGTGAAGCAGCTGGAACTCGAACTAGTGCCCATAAGGGATGCCGGCACTGCAAGGCGGCAGCTTTACCTGCTATGCCACAGCACTGGCCCCAAGAAACACTTTCTTAAAGAGCTCTAAATATTCTATGCCCTGTGGCCAAACAGCCTCCACTGCAACTACTTAAACATATAGCAAAGGTAGCCACGAGGCCCACGTTGAAATGCACTTTGCTGTGGACACTAAACTGTCAGATACACTTAAATTCTCTTCTTCAGGCTCTCTCCCACCACTTAAAAATGTAACAAGCACCCTTGGCTTGGGCGCCTGCAGCTTTAGTTTCCCCAACTTTACGCCCGAGAGTGTCACTCAGGGCCCAGGCTTGTGGCACAGTGGTTTAAGCTGTTGCTTGTGATGCTGGTGTCCCGTATGGGAGCACCAGGTGGGGCCCCCAGCTGCTCCGCTCCCGTTCCAGCTCCCTGCTAATGCGCCTAGTACTTGGACCCCTGCCACCCACTTGGGAGACCCAGATGAAGTTCTAGTCTCCTGGCTTTGGCCTGGACCGACCCAGCCATGGTGGCCTTTGGGAAAGGAAGCAGTGGATGGACGCTCTGTCATTCTGCCTGCCAAGTAAGTAACTCTGTCTTTATAAAGATTGGGTTATAAAGACTTGGACTGCTGCCAGGCTGGGACAGACACTCAGGCGAGGTGGTGTGCGGAGGATGCCGTGATGGTTCCTTCTGTCTGGCAACCTGGATGAGCAAGGAGCTCAGCTCTCGGCCAGGCGTTATCCTGGGTGTCTGTGATCACACGAACAGGGACTGGCGTGGGCCACGGGCAGCAGAATGCTCCCGGAGCGGGGAGGCCGCCATCGGGACTTCGGGATTTCGCTGCCTTCGGATCCGACAGGAGCAGCAGCTCCTCTGTGCGGCCTGCAGACTCCCTGCCCCTAGGGGCCACTTCCTTATTTCGCTCACAGATCGGCCTCTGCTCTCCCCAGCCCCGCATGTCCATATACACCTGGTTGGGTCTTAGTCTCTGACACAGAAGCTCTGCCCAGGCAGATGGGGACACACACGAGGAGGTCACGGCTGAGAGAAGAGCTGGGACATGGCGGAGTGTGCAGCCACAGCCCACGTGCACGCGTCCTGCAGCCTGGGTGTGGGAGGCAGGGGCCCTGTCCAGGGGGCTCTCATGAGGGTGCAGAGGGTGGGCGGCACCCTGTAGGCCAGGGGAGACCCACTTGTCTCTCCTCTCAGAAAGGGGGCAGGTGGCTGTGCAGGCGGGGCTCTGCCCCTGGCAGGTACACGCCCCACCTCAGCACCCTTCACCGGGAAGCAACTGGCCAGGGCAACAGTGTGCTTGTCACTGGGAGCCTGTACCGAGGACAGTGACCTGCGGCCCAGGAGTCTGTCGTAATCATGAAGCACTTCTGCCTTCCTCGAACCAAACACTGCCCCGGCACACAGACGAACCTGCAACCACTTCCGGCTGTCGGTGAGGCAACTGCCCGCTCCCAGACCTCAGCGCCGTGGCCCACAAGCTTAGACCTGGGTGTCAGAACCCTGCCCCTGGGTTCTCAGCCCTCGAGACACGGAGCCTGGGCCTGAACGGCTCCCTGTCAGACCCCAGGTGCTGGCCCGCTGGGGTCCTGCAGGCCCTTCTCCGTCCCGGCTCAGGACGAGCGTTCACTGGGGGATGCCTGCACCAACACTGGGTACCTGTTCTGCAGGCCCTTCTCCGTCCCGGGTCAGCACGAGCGTTCACTGGGGATGCCTGCACCAACACTGGGTACCGGGGGACGAGACTGCTGCTGCGAGGGCAGGGAAGTGATACACACAGCACCCGGGCCAGGGGTGCTCCTTGCCCTTGCCCTTGCCCTTTGAAATACTGATGGCTGCTGCCACCCAGAGCTTCCTCCGAAGCAGCGACCCTGTGCACAGCCTCCATGTACGCCATTTCTCCCTCCCTAGTGCTGCTGCCCACAGCCCCTTCCCGGGGCCAGCGCCGCGGCCTAGTAGGCTAAGCCTCCACCTGCGGTGCCAGCATCCCATATGGGCACCAGGTTGTGTCCTGGCTGCTTCACTACTGATCCAGATCCCTGCTGATGCGCCCAGGTAAGCAGTGGAAGATGACCCACGTGCTAATGCCCCTGTACCCACGTGGGAGACCAAGAAGCTCCCGGTTTTGGGCTGGCCTGGCCCAGCCCCGGCTGTTGTGACCTCTTTCTGTCTCTCTCCCTGTAAATTTGCCTCTTAAATAAATGAACCTTGGAAAACAAACAAACAAACAAACAAACAAAAAACACCCTGTAGTGCTATGACACCTGGAATTATTTTTCTACACCCAGTACACACAGCGTATGTATATCCCTGAAAAGGTTTGCGGAAAACCTTCTGCTCTGGGTGGTCCCAGGGCTAAGAACCCTCGACTTCTTTCTAGAAACTGCTCAGGTTTCAATTGAGTTCAATTTACTTGAAAGCCAGAGAGCGAGCGAGCGAGCGAGAGAGCATGCTCCCATCCTCTGGTTCACGTCCCAGACGCCTGGGCCAGGCCAAAGCCAGAAGCGTGGCAACTCCGCCCAGGTCTCCCGCGTGGCGGCAGGGACTCAGCCACGGGCGCCGTCATGGCTGCCTCCCAGGTGCTGCACCAGCAGGAAGCTGGATGAGTGGAGCTGACACTCAAGCCTGGGCACTCTGGTGTGGGGTGTGGGTGCCCAGCCGGCAGCCTAGCCACTGTCCCACACAGCCGCACCTTCTCTGGTGACATTAGCAAAACATTCACTGTGGCGCACATAGAGAATCCAGGTGGTGACGGATATCCAACACCCAGAAATCATACTTTGTGCTGAGGACTTAGGACGCCCCTGCCAGGCTGTCCCCTGTGCTTTCTCTCGCACAAACTCCTACCAGGGGTAGAAGAAAGGACTCGCCACCCCTGCATGCTCTGGGAGAGAGGGCCTTCCTTCTTCCTGTCTTTTAAAGATTTATTTATTTATTTGAAAGGCAGAGTTACAGAGAGAGGAAGAGAGAGAGAGAGACCTTCCATCTGCTGGTTCTTTCCCCAAACCACCAGGGCTGGGCCAATCCAAAGCCAGGTGTCAGGAGCCACTTCCGGGTCTCCCACATGGGTGCAGCGGCCCAAGCACTTGGGCTTTCCCAGGTGCATGAGCAGGGAGCTGCACTGGAAGTGGAGCAGCGGGGACTGGAACCGGCGCTGGCCCCAGAGCCTTCTGTGTAATGAAAAAAAGGAACACAGGCTACCTCCATGGCCGGCCACAGGCACAGCCCCTCTGGGGGAAGGGTGTGCCCTTTGTGACGACTCTCACCAGGGACCAGGGATGACTTTGGGGGTTTTCTTGTGTCAGCAGTAAGAGAAAGGCCCGCTGAGGGTTAACAGACCCTAGGAGCCAACTACGAGGTTTTCTGGACATGGAACATCGACTACAGCACGGGAAGTAACCTTAAAAAAAACCTGCAAGTTCTCCCTAGACAAGGTCTGGCTGGCTGGCTGGGAACAGCACAAGGACTGCTGGGTCTCCTGGCACAGACTCAAGGCGGCCCAAGCCGGAGCCCCGGTCCACTGTAAACAGACCACCACGCGCCTCCCGGCTGCCCACCCACGGGCCTCAGCCAACTTCTGCTTCCTGTAACCTCGGGCTCCCCGGGAACCCGTTGTTGTTGTTCGCACAGACGGAAACAACTTCAGGTTACGGTATTCGAGGCGGGGGAACTCTGTGGTGATTATTCATCGTATTTACAAATGTAGTCGAAGTCAAAATGGAGTGAGTGTGACTAAACGCTAACTGCATTCCGGCGACTGAGGTATGGGGCCAATTCCAGGAACCGAGACAAGGCCCAACCCAGCGTTCTGCCTAAGATTCAAGAAATGTGCCTTGGGCCTGCGCTGTGACGTGGCAAGTAAAGCCGCCACCTGCAGTGCCGGCATCCCATATGGACGCTGGTTCGAGTCCTGGCTGCTCCACTTCCGATCCAGCTCTCTGCTATGGCCTGGGAAAGCAGTGGAAGACAGCCCAGGTCCTTGGGCCCCTGCCCCCATGTGGGAGACCTGGAAGAAGCTCCTGGCTCCTGGCTTCGGATCAGCACAGCTCCAGCCATTGCGGCCAACTGGGGATGGAAGACCTCTTCTCTCCCTCTCTCTCTGCAACTTTGACTTTCAAATCAATCAATCAATCTAAAAAAAAAAAAAGAAAAGAAAAAAGAAACGTGCCTTGTCACATTCATCTTACAACCACATCCTGGGTCTGGTAACTGCGTGACAAGTCTCAAAATTGTGAGCCCTAGTGGACAGAATTCCAGGAAAGCTGTGTAACTCGCTGTTGGGGGCCGCACTCTGGTAAGGGGTGTCGGTCCCGATCGGTTGCCTTGCCTCTCAAATAAGCTTTGAGCGTGTGACTGTCACTGGCCTCTGTAGCATTCTGTTTCAGTGAATGAGTGGATGCCACGATAAGCATTCAGAAGAGGCGAACAGCAGATTCTTTGCTAGGACCACTGAAGTGTCGTGCGGCCTTGCCGTAACGCAAAACGGGAAGTGGAGAGGGGGCCGTGCAATCCACTGACGCCGGCGTAAAAACCACAGCCAGGCCAACAGAATTCCACTTCTACCGAAGAGAAAGCACTAGCAAAGGCCGCGCAGGGCGTGACAGCAGCAGCTGTGTGTGTGGCCACACACAGGTAGCTCTCGTCTGCCAAGGACAGGAGACAGGAGAAGGACCAGAGAGCTTAGGAGCCCCGCCCCGTCTCGCACTGCCGGCACAGGCCTGAGGCAGGACCCACACATCCGGGTACGCTGGGATCTGGAACGCAGCCCAGGCCTCTGCGGGGCCCCGGCCCATTTCCCCTTTGCTGCAGCCAGGCGCCCGCCCACCCCGCACCACTTCCCTTGTGCTCGCCCACAGAAGGGGCCGAGGCAGAGCGGCTGTGTCCGGCAGAGCCGGCGGCTGTCTGAGACAGCTGACGTGGGAAGGAGACACAGACACCGACTTGTAATCAACGGTCTTTATCTTGGAAACATGGAAGCAAGTGTTCTGACAGAAAGCTATGGCCGCTCTATAAGAGCCGATCAGGAGTAATTCACTGTCCTCCTCAGGATGTCATCACTTTAAAACAAGAAAACAAAACAAAACGCAACACAGAACAGGAAAAGCAATGCACAGCACTTGGTCAGGACCGACTCCCCGTGCCTTCCTTCCCCCCCCGCCCCGGTGTTTCACCACCGTCACCACCGTCAGCGACAATCACAACCGTGATTGCTTAGCGAATTGGACGTCAGAACCTTCACACGTTTCCGAGTTTGGAAACAAAGGTCCTCAGCAGGTCCCACGGACAGAGACACGCACAGGCCTGACTGAAAGTCACTCTAATGCTCACTATCCACTTCAGTGTTAGAGACACACACAAGCCACAGCAGACACTCAGATGCCCTCAAACTGTACACTCAGCCACCCCAGCACCGCTGGCTGGCCATGGCGCCTTCTCCTGGTGGACACTACCCCGAGCCGGGCTGCGCACAGCAAGGCGCTGTCACCACACCTGGTCCCTGTGCCTGTGCCCGTCGGCAGACACATCCAGCCAGCCACGCCAGCACAGGCCTGGGCAGAGGACTCCCCTCGTGGCCCCAGGGGCACCATTTGTCCCACGTTCAATCGCAGGCTCTCCGCCCTTCCAAGAGAGGCGCCGGACACCTTGGCCCTTGAGCAGGCAATCTGAGGAAGGGGAGCCGGGTGGAGTTCTAAGCAAGCCTAGGAAGGAGCAGGGGACCAGAGCTCGGTGTCTGCCCCCTCCAGAACCGGGGAGCCTGTGCTTGGCGGCCTTGGTGCAGGCCGGAGAGGCAGAGCAGGCGGTCCCAGGGCGCCGAGGGCTGGCCTGCATGTACTAAAGTGCCGGCAGGCTCTGCGCACCTGTGTGCTCGCTTCTGGCCCACTCCCCTTCGTCTCCACGATCGGCAGCGCCCTCTGGCCTCCACTCAGCTGCGTGTGACTAGGACTGCAAGGCAAGAAGGACAGGAGGAATGGCGGGGGGAGCCCTGAGAGAGGTCGCAGCACACAGGAGGAAGAGGGGAGGCAGGCGCTTGGCTGCTACAAGGAGAGTCGCTGCTTCCCCCGCACACTTGGGGACAGCAGGGGCCACGCGGGGCAACGGGATCTTCAGGGGCAGAAGCTCCCTTCCAAGTCCCCACCACGGCACTCGCGCACGAGGCCGGCCGCCGAGACGGCAAGAACGCGCCAGCAGACAGCGTGCCTGCTCGTCCCAGACACCCTTCTCAAGTATCGACCAAGACCTGAAACACCGCGTTCAAAGTGACGAACGCACAGACCCTACGCGTGGAACAAAACTGCAGAAACACGTGCTAGTTTGGGTTAGATTATAATCGTCTGAAGCACAGGATAACCAAGAAGCAAAATTCCATCCGGGACGACCACCCGGTTTTTAGAGAAGAGAAAGGAAAGGAAGGAAGAGATCCGGTGTGAGCTTTTTTGATCAGAAGACTCAGTGAAGCGAGAGGGGTGGTGCACGAACCCACGTGGTTTTTCAAGTCTTCCTTTTGTACAGTCATTAGATGACCGGGTTTGTGCTGTAAAGGAGCCAGCACCAAGTGGCTACTACTCTTGATTGTTCTCGATGAATGTTTATACAAAATAATATCTTCATTTAGTTTATAAACATACACAGTGCTGTCCCTTTCAAATGAAGGAGAAAAAGAAAACCACACACAAATACTGCAAAGTAGCAAAATACAAAGAGAAAAAGCTACTTTTGGTTTTGGCAACATTAAAAAAGAAAGAACTATAAAAAGCAATGTGGCATTGGTCCCTATTCATAAAAATAAAAAAAAAAAAGGTACTTGGGCACGACATTGAATCGGAATTGGTTTGTTTTGTAAAATTCGGAATATCTGGGATTTTAAAAGTAGCACTTTTGTCTTTTAAAAGTTCAACAAGTCACGGAACACTTAAAACATCAAAAAGGCTTTCTGATAAAAAGCTCAGCTTTTGTTTTTGCAATTTGGGAGACAAATTGAGTGGAATGCGGCCTAAGCTGGCTGACAGGTCTGGCTGGAAGGTCTCCAGCGGCAGGGCAGCCCTCCCTGGGACCACACCAACAACCAGCTCCCAAGCACAGGTTCTTGCTCCCGATTCTGGAGGGGCGGGGGTGGGACCTTCAGGCGGCGATCTTTGCCATCTGCTGTTCTAGCTTGGAAATGCGCTCATCTTGACTGCAGATTGTGTCTTTTATAGATTTGATCTCTTTTAAAATCTCATCCAACTTGGCTTCATTTTGCTACAAAAACAAAAAGGGGAGCCGTGATTAAAACACAGCAAACACACTTCATCACCGCGCAGAATTTGTAATACAGAAATGCAATTTTCTATCTTCCAATGGCAAGTCTCAGCCACCAAGTGGAAAAGGAGGCAAAGCTCAGGCCTCTGGCCTAGGAGTGCAGCTGCGGCCGCTCCACCCACGTGAAACCCAGCAGCAGGACGCCAGGGAGACCGGCCCGCCCACTTCTGGTCCCTGGGCCTTGCACCCACCTGGGGCCGGACGGGCTCCTTCAAGGCTGCCCAAAGCCTCACTCTGCCAGCAAGCGCAACTTCTATCTGCCCAGGGTGCCCGAGGAGTGACTCTGTGCAGAGGCCATGGAGCTGCTGCTGCCCAGGGAGTCAGGTTCCCCGTGCTGTCTGCCACATCTTCCACGCAGGCCAGGGTCATGTGGCTCCCTCCACCACAGCCCCAGTGTCAGCTCCTCCGGACACTCTGTACCTCCGCTCCTCTTACTGTCTCAGGGATAACCCAGCACCTCCCTTCTCCTCTGGAGTTCCGTCCCGTAGCCCACACACCCCCTCCCCGGGGCCAGGCAGGACTGCATGGGCAGGCTCCTTCCCACCCCTCTGCCAGATCCCCTGTGCTGCCTGTTCCAGCCACTGCCAGATCTTCTGCCACTCTGCTACTCCCTCCTCCAGGGCTCTCCCTTGCTGGGCCTGTGTCCCTCCACTCACACCCCTTTGTTTCTACCCAAATCAGAGATGGGTTTAACCAGTTTGGGGAAAGACAGTTAAGAAAACCCCAAGAGACTCCTGTTCATTCTCAGAGGTGGAGATCAACGCCCACCACAGACACCATGAAACACAGAGCAGGGCTCAGACTCGTCATGGCCACGAGCTCTAGGGCTCTCTCACGTACCACCATTCGCTGAACGCCCCCCAGTGGCCACGGTTGACACAGTGCTTGCCAAGGGCCCTGACCACAAAGGGATCGCCAGTGGACAGGACCCAGGCGTAGCCCCAGCTCCTGCTGCCCTTACCACACTGGCAGGGTCCGCGGTCTTCTTGGGGGTGTTGATTAGGTCGCACTTCTTGTTCGCACTGGGCTTGCTGTCCAGAATGTTCTTCTTGACGACCTTGAGGTCCCTGTTTTTGCCTGGAATATATCCGTGCTTCAAGGAGATGAGGATGGGGTCTGCGTCCTTCCCCTCAAACCACTCTTCGGCCTCCAGTGCGGCTTCCGGTCCTGCCGTGTCGGGATACAGGTCGTCCTGGAACAGGTCGGACTGCAAGAGACATTCAGGGGAAGCCTCTGGTGAGGAGGGGGAAGGGTCAGGGTTCGCTGTTTTAAATGTTGACTGCTAGAAAACCGGGCACTCACCTTCCTGGGGACAGTCATGATAATGGGCTCACACTTTCTCTCATGGAGCTTGAAGAATCTTCAGAGGGGAAACAAAGGGAAAGTTCCATTGAGTCAACCAGGAGGCTGCGTCGGAGAATTCGCTGTGGCCCGCAGTGCTACACGGCTAGCAAGTGCGGGTCCACCCTCGCTTCGCTGACCTGCCCACTCCACAGAGAACACAGCTGGGAGGAAGCGTGCTAGGGCACGGCGGACTGGAGCCAAGCACGGGGTGAGAGCTGTGAATTACGGACAAACTGCAGCACCACAGGTGCAGAAGCTGCCATGCCACAGGACCAGCGAGCACACACCTACACGCTGAACGCATCTACGGCCCGGTGCCGGGCTTTGCCAGCTTGAAGTGGTCGAACGATTGTAAACACAAATATGATTTTTACAATGGAAAAGAAACAATCCTGAGAACTGAGATCTTTATGTCCACGCAAAGCGTACCATGCGTGTACAACAGTCAAAAACTGGCAGCGATCCAAACAGCGGAAAGAGTGGGAATGGACAGCAGCTTGCTTACAACAGCAGAGAGGGAAACAGATCACTCTCGGTTTAAAAAAAAGGACAGCGTTTTCTCATGCATCCTCAATAAGACAAAACAGCCAAGCCAGAAATGTCTTCTCTTCCAAAAACCCCGATAAGGGCAAGGCAATTTTCCCCCAGCCAGAATGGAATCCAGAGTTCTTCCTAAAGGGTGGGCCTTGTGGCCCAGTGGGTTAAGCTGCTGACTGCCTTGAGTCCTGGCTGCTCTGCTTCTGGTCCAGCTCCCTGCTAATGCACCTGGGGAAGCAGGGGCTCCTGCCACGCAGATGGGAGACCTGGATGGAGTTCCAAGCTCCTGACCCAGACCTGGCTGTTGTGGCCATTTGGGGGATGAAGCTGCGGATGACAACTCTCTCTCTGTTACCCTGCCTTGCAAATGAAAAAAAAAAAAAAAATTTTAAAAGAGTTCTTTCTAAAGCTCCTGCCAAGAGCGCAGTGAGCATTCTGACCAGAGTGGCAGACCCAGCCATGGGGGAAGGGCAGAACTCAGCGGCGCTGCAGGAAGTGCACCCTGTTGTGTCACACTTGCCTGTTCACTATTTGAACCAGAAAGTTCCACAGGTAAACAAAAAAAAATTTTTTTTAAAGAATTATTTTATTTATTTGAAAGACAGAGCTACAGGACCAGCACCGTGGCGCAGTAGGTTAATACTCCACCTGCAGTGCTGGCATCCCATATGGGCACGGTTTCTAGTCCCAGCTGCTCCTCTTCCCATCCAGCTCTCTGCTGTGGCCTGGGAAAGCAGTACAAGATGGCCCAAGTCCTTGGGCCCCTGCACCTGCATGGGAGACCTGGAAGAAGCTCCTGGCTCCTGTCTTTGGATCAGCGCAACGCCGGCTGTGGTGGCCATTTGGGGAGTGAACCAACGGAAGGAAGATCTTTGTCTCACCCTCTTACTGTCTGTATTCTTTATTTGAGAGGTAGAGTTACAATCTTTTTTTTTTTTTTAAAGACAGAGTTACAGATAGAAGTAGAGCCAGAGAGAGAAAGGTCTTCCATTCCATTCTGCTGATTCACTCCCTAAATAACTGTAAGGGCCAGAGCTGAGCTGATCCAAAGCCAGCAACCAGGAGTCTCTTCTGGGTCTCCCATGAGAATGCAGGGGCCCAAGGAGTTGGACCATCCTCCACTGCTTTCCCAGGCTGTGGCACAGAGCTGGATCAGAAGTGGAGCAGGTGGGACTCGAACCGGTGCCCATATGGGATGCTGGCACTGCAGGCCGGGGCTTGAACCTGTTGTGCCACAGCGTCAGCCCCAACAAAAATATTTCTTCAAGACTAATTAAATGAAAACTCTGCGGGAAGCCTTCTGGGGAAAAGACTGAGTTTGAGTATCGTAACGTTTGAGGGCACAGCAATTCATCAAGCCTCGAGTTCCTCATCAGCAAAGTGGGGATAAAAATGGCACTTACCTCACAGGACACGCAGGAGAAGTGAAAGTAATTCAAGTATCATGTTTAGCACCCAATATATGAGGGTACTTCAAAAGGAATTCTGCGTACTTTAAAAAAAACTATGCATGGATTTCAAATTTTTTGCTCCAAAATATACTTGTCTTGGGGCAGGCATTTGGCACAGTAGTTAAGAGGCCATGTGAGATGAGCCTGGTTTGAGTCCAGGTTCCGTTGCTGCCAGTCAGCTCTCTCCTAGTGCGCACCACGGGAGGCACAGGTGAGGGCTCAAGTACGTGGGTCCCTGCCACCCACCTGGTGACCCAGGTCAAGTTTTCAGCTCCTGGTTTCAGCCCAGTCCAGTCTCAGCTGTTGGAAGTGTTTGGAGAGTGAACTAACAGATGGAGGACCTCTGCTTATCTTTCTGCCTTTCAAATAAATAAAATTTTCACATAACTAAAATTTTTGGCACATTTATTTTATTTAAAAATTGTTTATTTGGCCGGCGCCATGGCTCACTAGGCTAATCCTCTGCCTGCTGCACTGGCACCCCAGGTTCTAGTCCCGGTCAGGGAACCGGATTCTGTCCCGGTTGCTCCTCTTCCAGTCCAGCTCTCTGCTGTGGCCCGGAAGTGCAGTGGAGGATGGCCCAAGTGCTTGGGTCCCTGCACCCCATGGGAGACCAGGAGGAGGCACCTAGCTCCTGGCTTTGGATCAGCACAGCGCCGGCCATGGTGGCCATTTGGGGAATGAACCAATGGAGGGAGGACCTTTCTCTCTGTCTCTCTCTCTCTGTCTGTAACTCTACCTGTCAAATAAATTAAAAAAAAATAATAAATTGTTTATTTGCATTTCATTTGAAAGGTAGACATACTCCAAATGTCCACAGTAGCCAGGGTGGGACCCAGAATGGACTGGGTCAAAGTCAGGAGCGCAGAACTCAATCCAGGTCTCCTAAGTGGGTAGCAGGGACCCAACCTGAGCTGTTACCTGCTGCACCCAGGATACACATTAGCAAGAGGCTGGAATCAGGAGTCAGAGGAGGGTACTGAAGCCAGGCACTCTGATATGGATGCAGGCATCCCAGGCGGCCTCGTAATGACTGTACCTTAGTTGCTCCTTCAATTCCATTTTCCCAAACTTTTTGATGTCCCTTGAATAATCAATGCTCCAAAACAGAAAAAGGAGGTGTCCTGAATAATCATGCTTAGTCTTTTAAACTTTTAGATGACAGTAAAATAAATGTTCCCAAGGACTGGAAATAATCATTTTTTAAACCATGTGACCAGAACACAGTCACATAAATATGTACAATGATTTTACAGCTGATGATGTGGGACTGTTCTTTCTTCCTTTTTGAATATGTATTTATTTATTTGAAAAGCAGAGTTACAAGGAGAGACAGAGAGAGCTTCCATCCACTGGTTCACTCCCCAGATGACTGCCTCAGCCAGGGCTGGAGTCGGAGTCAGGAGCTTCATCTGGGTCTCCCACGTGCATTAGCAGGGAGCCGGATTGGAAGTGGGGCAGCCAGTGGTTTAACCTGCTATGCCACAGCACCAGCTCCAGTGTAGGAGTACTGTTGTTTAAAATGCCCAGTGGTCACTGAGTCTCACTGAGTATTTTTTGTTTACTAGGGTGAGAAAAATGCCTGCTGGACACTCCCTAGCCTCACAGGATGAAACCTAAAACTCAGAGGTAGTACAGGCAGATATAATGCAGCACAGTGGGCCTCCTCAGTGAGCTTAACCTAGCACCCCGCTGGGGGCTCTTCTCCTCTGGGTTAGGACCAGCGGGGTCCCCCACTCAGTGTGGAACCTGGTTCTTCCTCTAAAGGGCACCCAAGGGTAGGCGCTCCCCTGTCTGCCTTCTCAGCTTGAAGACAGGACACAGCGGTCTCATTATTTCAGGGAGTGTGCAGTGCACCTCAGCCATGCCACTTAGCTGCTACATTTCCAGCTGTGAGGGCAAGCTGATCGTCACGTCCCAGCACACACCAGGGCAGAGGGACTGGGGCATTACAGCATGACCTGTTGCGGTGCTCTGTACTACAAGGACGGCGGGAACAAACGCAGTGCTTTGTAACACCCACGCTTTACCTGGCGATCTCGCATTTGTTAACGTCAAGTCCCCTCTTGGGCATGTACCCCATGCCTCTCTGAGGCTCCTTGCTGCTGAAAGTGTTGAGGTAGTGGACATACGGGGATTCATCCGTGATCTCAAAATAGCGAATACTGCTGTCGCCCTGCAAAACATCAGACAAGTTTGTGTTCGATATCAACGGAAACGCTCGGCCTCGCCTCCCCTCCACACACCCAGCAACAGCTGGGGACCACGTGCTAGTGGCTGACCTGTTTCTCCCCACAAGGAAGCTCATCACAGCGTTCGACAGCTGCTCTGCCTGGTGGAGGAAGCCCCCACTTACCAAACACTAGCCTGCTCTTTAGGTGGTCTCCTCTGCCTCCCAAGCAGGTTGACTTTACTCCCCTGAGCCTGGACGTCTGGCCAGAGTTAGGGTAAAATTCTGAATTCCTCTGCCAGACAACTGCACTGCCACTCAAGTTCAAAAAACAAAGAGTAGAGGCCCGCTGAGAGCGCCATGACTGCTGTGAAGTTCACGCACTAGCGCAGGGCAGGGCGCCGTCACCAGGCAGTGAGGAGATGAGAAGGGAGAGGTTCCTGGTTAGGCATGCGTGTCCTTTAACTGCAGCAGGCCGCACCGTCCCATCACGTCGTGTCTGCCTCTCTCATCTTGTTCAGAGCAGTCAGGGTTTTTTTGAGATCTGGAGCCCACAGCATATGCAAGTCTAAATCCAAATCACAGTGCCACCAGCGTGAGTCCTGACGGCAATACCGTCTGTAGCGAGGACACACACGTCACGCGCATGCACGCACAGGGAGGACGACACAATGGCGACATGGCATCATGCCCTGGTATCACTTCCCCTATTTTCCTTTTGCTTCATGATTTAGATCTCAGAGCAATGGAAAAGATGATAAGCACTTATTAGTCATTTTCTAACCAAACTAATTTTCCATCTAGAGTTAATAACATCTGGGTCACTGCTCATCTTGTGCTGTTCCAGGCTGCGGCGGCAGCAGCTGTTAACATCTGCACTGTGACTGTCAAGGAAACACACGGACCTCCGTCCCCCCGTGACAGCCCCTGCAGCGCAGCACAAACAGCCGCCTGTGAGAAGTGAAGCCTCGCCTGTGCGGGACCCGCTAACAGATCTGGGGATACAGAAACAACCCCCTTCCGTTCCATCGACTACATAGACTTCTAAGGAGAAAATTAAACCTATAAAGGAAAATGAGATTGGAGGTTACCAGCCCTAAAAAGTAAAACGGTAGCAACGGAGCCACCGAGCGTGCGGTCAGGCGAAGGGCTTTCAGCTCAGCGTGGAGTCTTCCTGTCACGGCCTGATATCACGCTCTGAAACTTCAGTCGGGCCCAGCACTGAGCCCCGGCAACAGAAGCCTCCAGAGTCTTTGGGGACCTCAGATACTCACAGCCACAAAGTTCTGTTTCCTTCCTAAGTCCAGGGTGGAGAAGCTCACACCCTCACGCCAATCTAGGGCTATCTGATAAGACTGCAGCATCCTGGTCACAATGCAGCTAAACCTGAAATCACCAATCAGCCAGCACTCGTGGATGAAAACCAAAGACCAGCAAGTCCTCTCTCCCCCTGAAAGGGCTGTGTGCAGGCCCCCGTCAGCATCTGCCCCAGCGCCCCAGCGCCCCAGCCCAGGCCCTGCCCAGGCAACAACAGCAAACACAGCATGTTGTGTTACCCGACAACTGGCCGGTCTCAGGGCCTAATCCATACCAAAATCACCTGTCGTGATCTTAGCTTAAGACACACAGACACACAAATTAGACAAGTCAAAATGACACAATACGTTCCCCATCCTCTAACGCCCTGAAGGGTAGACTTTCTTCTTAATTAAACTGATCAGGATTAAATTAACCTGAGTCAAACATCACAGTCACTGTTTACCTTTCCACATAAGTAAATGATACTGGTGTCAGGATCGTAGAAAGGCAGCAACACCCCATTGCTAGTATCCATTTCATGAAGAGCGATTGGTTCCTGCATGTTTTTCTGGAAGAAAAAATAAATATATGTATGTGTGTGTGTGAGTGTATGCATTTTGTAAAGTTGGATTTTTTAAAGATATATATATATATATTTATTTATTTGAAAGTTGGAGTTACAGCAAGAGAGGGAAAGAGACAGAGACAGAGAGGAGAGACATCTCCCATCCTTTGGCCCACTCCTGAATGGCCACAACGACCAGGGCTGGGCCAGGCCAAAGCCAGGAGCCAGAAGCTACACCTAGGTCTCCCACGTGGGTACAGGGGCCTAAGCACTTGGGCCGTCTTCTGCGACTTTCCCAGGCCACAGCAGGGAACCAGGTTGGAAGTGGAGCTGCTGGGACTCTAATCAGCACTGCAGACAGTGGCTTAACCTGCTGCACCGCAGCGCCAGCCGCTGTTATACATTCTTCTAACTTTACTTAAGTGAGCCATTTTCCTAGAATCATAGCAGTTTGAGTGGCAGAAACTCTGGTTGCCTGTTTCCCTCCAATATACACACAGGTTGGGGCCACACCACATATGCAAATGAGGTCTTCTCCACTTAGGTTAAACACTATATTCTTCGTACATGCTTTGGAAAACAAATGAACAAAAAAGCCAAGAGTCTCCTCGGGAGACCAAGCGTGCATTTTTGAAATAGAGGAAGTCTCCAGTGATGACAAGAGCATCACATTCAAGTTCAGACAAGCTGGAGTTTAGAGATCTACATGAAGAATCTAGAATCTACTTGCCAACCCAAAGACCCATTCAGAACAGAGAGAAAGCTCAAGGGAAAGCGAGCGGAAAGGCGAGTGGGGGGAGCATACCGGATTCCAGAGCGCCAGCTGCCGTTCACTCATGCGGCTGAAGCCGGTGGTGAAGACGTTGCCGTCGGCCAGGAAGATGGCCCTCATGGGCCTTGCACCTTCGTGCGCTTTCTCCTTCTCCTGGGAGGGAGGGCAAAAAGGCACACCGTGCACACTTAAGCTGCAGGCAGTAACGTGCACTGCGAAACTCACCTGGAGCCCAACCTCACCCTAAGCCACGCTCTGAGGACACAGGGGTGCGGGCAGTCAGTGTGAACCACGCTCCCTCCCCATGAGGAAACAAGACCCTCCTCTGGCTTGCCAGAACACCAGGATTTGACTCATCCTGCTTCCATTCCAAGTCCAGGCACCACAATTAAAACACATGAAAGGATTCCCCGGATGCCTGCTTCTCAAGAGGATAACCACCTGAGGGTTGGGTGTCACTCTGCCACTTCTGCAAAATCACGGGGCGGAAAAGTCTGGTCCAGCCGCCAAACATCCACCCTGGAAGAGCCCAGTGGAGAAGCACTCTGCCCAAGCCCAGGAAGTCCCCGGGGCTCGACACTGCTGTCAGCGCATGGCCTCCAAGTGCAGCCCAGCCCTGCCTGAGGACACGAATGTCCCCTTTGGTCAGGACCTGGGATCTCGTGGGGCCCAGTCTGGGCTGATGAAAGAGCCTGGGGCTTCTCCGTGAGACACTGAAGCAGACTGCTGGGATGGAGCGAGGGCAACAGTTAACTCGTATTTGGTGCTCGGCCCGAGACCTGGAATGTGTCTGCCTTCCCTGATGCAGGCTCGTAAACTCCGAAGGACTCTAGTGAACCAACAAAAACTCTTTCCTTGTGAGAAGGGACCACCAAGGGGACGAGAGTTGAGTGAGGCTGGGAACATTCAGCTCTGCGAGAAGCGTGACTGGGGGCAGTGAGGGCCTGTGCGAGCCTCCCCTTATTCTCCGCTGGCGCCTGCACAGAGCGAGGCCCCCGACCAACACTGCCACCTGCCTCCCAGAGCAGTGCCCGCCCTCGGGCGTCCTGGCCGCGAGCATACTCACAGCAACGATCTCCTGCTTCCTGGGATCGATCACTCTGACTCTCTTGTCTTTGGAGGCTGTGCAGATGAGGCTGCCGTTCCTGTTCCAGCTCACGTTGTAAATCACATCCGAGTGCATCTCGTCCAGGTTTATGAGGGCTTCCCCCGTCCCCACGTTCCAGACGATGATGGCGTTATCACAGCCTGGAACCAACAAAACCAAGCCCTGCAAGGTTAGAAACTCCTGGAGAATGACAGACAGGAAAGCTAAAAATACAGTGAGGATAGCTAGAAATGCAAAGAAAGGGGCCGATTATAAGATGCTCTGTCTACTGGGAGTTTAAAAAACTGAAAAGAAATTGGTATAAGAAATAAATGTGTTGGGGCTGGCACTGTGGTGCAGTGGGTTAACGCCCTGGCCTGAAGCATCGGCATCCCATATGGGCGCTGGTTCGAGACCCAGCTGCTCCACTTCCTGTCCAGCTCTCTACTATGGCCCGGGAAAGCAGTAGAAGATGGTCCAAGTCCTTGGGCCCCTGAACCCGTGTGGGAGACCCAGAAGAAGCTCCTGGCTTCGGATCGGCACAGCTTTGGTCATTGCAGCCATCTGGGGAGTGAACCATCAGATGGAAGACCTCTCCTCTCTCTGCCTCTCCTTTCTCTGTGTAACTCTGACTTTCAAATAAATAAATAAATCTTAAAAAGAAGCTTTGGCCGTTGTAGCCAATTGGGGAGTGAACCGGCGGATGGAAGACCTCTCTCTCTCTCTCTCTCTCTGCCTCTCCTTCTGTCTGTGCAATTCTGACTTTCACATAAATGAATATCTTTACAAAAAAAAATAAATGTGTTAAAGGAAAAGCATAGCTTGTTAGGTTTGGATTCATTTGAAATAGCCAAACAAACACAACACCAAAGCACTGTACTCTTTTAGAATCCTATGTTGTTGTTTTTAAATTAACTGGGTTGGTGAACCTGAGTCATTCAAGTTTCCTTTTCTAGAACAAGTATCAGAATGAATGTAGCCCAGTTCTTTCCCAAGGGGACTGTGAGTGACAGATTATTCAAATCAGTGATGCTGGAAGACATAGGCTCAGTACACGAGAACATGGTAAACTCTAACAACAGAGGGAAACGTAAGGGCTGGCCTGATGCTCACAACAGATCTTTAGAGGAGGAGGAAAATGGGCCAAGAGTGGCCAGGGCAAGGACCCAAGTGTGCTTGGTTCAGAAACTGCTTCCCAAGAGGCCCACAGCACTGGCTCACCACAGCCCCCAGCTCTCCAGTGCTACCCTTCCTTCTAAGGTCTGCTCCAAGCCCCCAGAGCCCCTTAAAAAAAAAAAAAAAGTGCCAAGTGCTGTTTCGAAGTCATTAGTTCAAAGATAAAGCAAATAAGGAAAAACAGCCTACAAGTGAATTCTTGCCAATTAAGCTACTGTCTAAGTGCTTTAGAAAAACTAGCCACTGTGTTTGGTGCGGTGGTTAAGACGCTGCTTGGGGCTCCTGCATCCTGTGTTGGGGGTGCCTGGTCCACATCTGGCTCATCTGCTTCTATTCCAACTTCCTGCTGATGCGCACCCTGGGAGACAGCAGGTGACGGCTCAGTACTCTGGTCCCTGCCACTCACATGGGAGACCCAGGCTCAGTCTGGGCTCCTGGCTTTGGCCTGGCCCTACCCCTGCTATTGCAGGCATTTGGGGAGTGAACCAACAGACAGATCTAATCTGTCTCTCTGCCTTTCCAACAAAATTAAAATAATAAATAATAATAAAAATAAAATATTTAAAATAAAATAATAATAATAAAATTAAACACAAAATCCCAAGATATGTAAGTTACCTAAAGATCAAAAGTCAGAAATTGGAGGGGGAAAACCTGCATAACGACATCAAAAGCTGAAGCTAAACTCTGGGACACAGGTGACCTTTCTCTGCCTTGTTCCTTGCAGGCAGACAGGTACTCCAGGCATGGCAGGCAGACCACACGGTCTTGAGTCTGAACCAGGGAGAATGGGGAGCCACAAGGGAGAGACCTTCAACCATTCTACCCCTACATTAGTACTGCTTTTCTACAAGCCAACGGTCGGGGCAGGATTTACAGTTAAGTCCGGACAGACACGTACAAGTACACACAGTGAAGACCCAGCACCATGATGGAGACACTACACATGCTCACCACCTAACATAGCGCCGTGTGGCTTTTGTCCAAGAAAACAAAATGTCACATCTTGGACAAAGGAAAAAGCTCCTGTAAGATGGAAACACTCAAGTGAGAAACCACTAAGAACAGGAAGGTGCAGGCGCTAGGCTTCAGTATGGTGCTGTTGGACAGTGAGCACTCGGAACATCAGAGACAGGAGACTAACAACACCAGCAGAGGCTGCCCGGGGCATGCTCACCAACACCTTAGCAAGGCCGCTCAGTGGCCCAGGGCAAGGCCACGACCCCAGATCACTGATGGACGTGCTCGTCACCAGGTCTCCCGGTGACCTGCTTCAGAACTGCATGCCCACGCCACGACGCACTGCTGGGCCCTTCCTCACCCAGGGTGTGAGACGTGAAGGCAAGGAGCAAGGGGGCACCATGAGGCTCCTACCTGCACTAAGAAGCACGTTGCGGGCCGTCGGATGCCAGGCCACGATGCCAACTCTCTTGGAGTGACCTTCTAAAACCACCACAGGTTCGGTCAGGGACAGGGTGAGTCCGTTCTCAGGGATCTGCCACACCTGTTGGAAAGGGAAGAGAGATGACTCAGCTGAAAGCCATGGCCTCTCGCAGTCACACTGACTGCCTACCAGGTCTGAAAGCTCACTCTGTCCACACAGAACACACAACCGCACTGGCTGGAAGGCCTCGGCCGCCGCGCCGCGCCGTGCAGCAGTGTGGTCAGGACTCGAATGCGGCCTACACTCAGCTCCTGAAGCTCCCTGTCAAGTTCTGCACTGGCTGCTTAGAAGCACACAAAGGACCAAGCAGTCGTGAAAAGACAGCCTGCAGTCAGACACTGAGCCAAGCCCGTGTTCTTCCGGGGACGGCGCAGTTCATACACAAATTGTCAAGTAACTTTCCACTTGGAAAACGAAAATACATGTCACATACATTATTACACAGAGCAAATTTTACAAAAGGAAAATAGCTAAGCAGGATTTCACCAAAATAAAAGGCTTGTGATTTGAAGGACCTATTAAGAAAGTTAAGGAGCGGGCACTGTCACAGAATAGACGGGCTGGAATACCACATCCCGTGTCGGATCAAGTTCCGGCTATTCCTCCCAATCCGGCTCCCTACTGATGCATCCTGGAAGACAGCAGCTCTTGGCTTCAGTGTTTGGGCCTCCCACGTGGAGTCCTGGGTTCAGAACTGCAGCCTGGCCCAGTCTTAGCTGTTAGAGGCATCTGGGGAGTGAACCAATTGTTCTGCCTTTCAGACAGGTAACAACAAATAAAAACATTTTTAAGAAAGATTTATTTATTTGAAAAGAGTGAGAGACCTTCCATCTACTGGTTTATTTCCCAGACAGCTGGAAGACCCAGGCCAAAGCCGGAAGCCAGGAAGGAACTCCATCCTGATCTCCCACGTGGGTGGCAGGGACCGAGGCCAGCTGCTGCTGCCCTCCCAGGCACATTGGCAGGGAGCTGGTCAGAAGTACAACAGCCAGGGCTGGAGCCAGTGCTTCCATATGGGATTCCAGAGCTGCAGGCAGTGGCTTACCCTGCGCCACACTGCCAGCGCAGGTAAGAATGTTTTTTGAAAAAAGAAAGGGAAAACATGCAAAATGGGAGAAAATAAGCTGCAAGCCGTACACCTGATGAGGCACTTGTACTAGAACGTATGAAGAACTCTGACACCTCAGCAAGACAAACGACCCAGTTTAAACATGGCCAGCAGGGAGTGGGTGGGCAGTGGTCTAGTGGTTAGGACACCGCATCCTATACCTGAGCACTGAGTTCAAGTCCTAGCTCCACTCCTGATTCCAGCTCCCTGCTAATGCACACCCTGGGAGGCAGCAGGTGACGCCTCAAGTACTTGGGTCCCTGCCACTTCACTACGAGACCTGGATGGAGCCCCAGGCTCCCAGCTTCTGGCTAGCCCAGCCCTGGTCACTGTGGGCATTCAGGGCATGAACCAGAGATGGGAATTGTCTGTCTCTTGCTCTGTTTCTCAGCCTCTCAAATAAATTTAGGGGGAAAAGAAGGATTAATGGGCAAGGAATCTTACTAGACATTTCTAGAGAAAGATATACAAGTGGGGGAAGAAAAACCCATATGAAAGGATGCTTGACATTATTAGCCAAAAGGTGGAGGCAAAACCCAGCGAGGGCTGAGTGACACATCCATACGATGGAGTACTACAACCCCGAGACAACACGGGGAAGCCTGCAGAAAATGCTGAGTGAGAGAAGCCAGGCCCCAAAGACCACTCCTCTAGGATGCCATGTCTGAGACGTTCGGAACAGGAAATGACAGCGGGACAAGTGGTTGGCAGTTGCTTAGTGTTGAGGAGCAGGGGAGGCGGTGATAGACAGGAGGTGGGATTTCCTTCTGAGGTGACGAAAACATTGTACAAGGTGATGGCTGTCCACATCCAGGACTATCCCCAAAGTCACTGGAGCGTGCAGTTGACACGTGTGACCTCAGTGTGAGCTAAGGCTCAGCAGGCTGTGTTTTACAAATCTTCTTACAGGTGAAGACATGCGGGGGTGGGAAAGGCGTCAGCCCGGAAGGGGCAGGAGACTCTTCAACCACGGAGGACCAAGCGGATGAAAGGCTGAGACACAGAAACAGCCTCCCAGATAAAAGGAGCGATTCCTGGGGAGCCGGGTAGCACCAGGACTCTGTGGAAGACGGCCATACTGAACAATATTTATGTTTATGAAAAGGCTGAGTCTGAAATAACTGTCTCCTTTAATAGGAAGTTTAAAGTACATTTACCGTCACACGCAGATTTTAAGGAAGCAGTTCATGAGAGATTTAGAAACTGCCAGAGAAAAATCACATTTAGCAGTGGAACAAGTGAGAGAATTTTCCTTGTGGGGATTTTTTGAAGGAGACAAACAACTGCCTGTTTTCCATCCCTGGGCGGAAGGGAGAGACGTGGCTTACAGGGGTGTTGAAAGCTTAGCTCAGCTCTGCATCTCGTGCAAACGAGGACAGAGTCTGCCATCCCGAAGAGTGGGAAGAAGTCGTGAGCCGAGTGAGTCACTCCTTTTACAGCCAAATGCTGCCCAAGCTAAATATAACCTCTTATGCAAATCGTGGCAAAATAAGCCTGCCTTCTGGGGGTCTCAGCCTAGCTGCCACCGAATTTCCCACGAACACACCAGGCCCCTACCCATCCCTCGGCACATGCGCAAGGTGGGAAACCTCCCCCTGTGCAGCCAGCCTTCCCCCTGCCAGGGACATGGCCACTGCTTCCCCCAGAAGTGTAAGCTTGCTTTCACCCTGCTATGCATTCTTTTTATTCAAGGGTTTACAATTAGTAAAACATCTCCAAATTGAACTTGGCTATTGTAATTTAAAGCAGGTTTGAAATCTTACACAGAACAAAACAGAAAGCAATGGCTACTGATTTGAGCAGAATGAAGCTGACAGAGAAACAATTATGAAATGGGGTCTTAGCCATTCAAGAGGAAATGCATTTTGTAGGATGAAGTCTGACCTATGCATAGAACGGAAAGAAAAGCAATACCACCCACCGCCTTCAGGTGGCAGCCTAACCACACACTGCTGGGTTTTCTCCCAAGGACCGAAAACTGCCTACCTCAGACCAGGACTGAACGTGCATTTCTAGACCCCTGCAGAGGTATGAAGGCACGGGAGGCTTTGCTTATAATCAGCATTCCAACTTTAAATACCAGGGCAGAAGCAGAGCTTCTCCATCCACCTTTTTCTTGGACTGAAACGAAATTTTAATGGAGTAAAACATTCATTGTATAACTTTTTTTTAATGTTTTTTTTTTTTTTTTTTTTTTTTTTGACAGGCAGAGTGGACAGTGAGAGAGAGAGACAGAGAGAAAGGTCTTCCTTTGCCGTTGGTTCACCCTCCAATGGCCACCGCGGCCAGCACGCTGCGGCCGGCGCTCCACGCTGATCCGATGACAGGAGCCAGGTGCTTCTCCTGGTCTCCCATGGGGTGCAGGGCCCAAGCACTTGGGCCATCCTCCACTGCACTCCCGGGCCACAGCAGAGAGCTGCCCTGGAAGAGGGGCAACCAGGACAGAATCCGGCGCCCCGACCAGGACTAGAACCCGGTGTGCCGGCGCGGCAAGGTGGAGGATTAGCCTAGTGAGCCACGGCACCGGCCTCATTGTATCACCTTTAAGATGAGGAAACTCTCTTCCTTTCTCACCTAACTTCTGGTGGCTCTAAGGATCCCCTCATTTGGGTGTATGCATTGGACACGAGCACCTCAGCGCGTCACTCTTAGCCACACACTCACGACTGAATGCCAGCACAAGAGCAGCCTCGTACGGTGGGACACGGGCCCTGCTCACAGCAAACACAGGGCTTCTGTTAGACTGAAGATCAAAGAGAGAAATATACATGTGATGCAGAGGGGTGGCCAATCCTGCCAGCCCTGGGCAAACAACCCAGCAACCGTGCACATCACCATGTACACATCCCAGGGTTGCTGTGGGGATTACAGGAATTGTTAAAACCCTTGGAACAGAGCCTGGCACACAAACAGTGCTTCCAAAATGTGGAGTCAGTACAGCCAGACTGATGGCTCAGTTCCCCCAAGACCGCCACTTATTAGCAGTGTGGCCTGGGGCACTCACCTGACTGATGGGCCTCATCTAGGAAACAGGGATACGAATGAACTTGCCCATGGCTTGGTGGTTGGAGGAATCCAAGACCCTCACTCAGTAAGAACTGGCTACTCTTCTTATTTGTATTATTATCTGCTAGGAAACCATATAGCATAAGCCATGCCATGCTGGCATAGCCAGACGCTGAATAAGAATGCAAATGTCCTGGGGTTACCTCCTTGCTAATAACCCAGAGGGGTCCAGCCAGGAGGGTTCCTTGAGGACAGAACCTCTAAGGACAAACAGGAGTTAAAGCAAAGAAAAGAAAGGGAGAAAATCGAGTACCCAGTCTCACACAGATGCACAAGGCAGTTTACTGAGAAGTGCATGGAGCATCTAACAATGCCACGTGACAACTGGCTGAGGAGCCACAGGGAACAGCACCAGACTCACAAAGACAACGCCACAGGCAAGGGCACGGCTGTGGGAGGAGGAAGTGATAGAGACCATCTGTGGAGCAGACTGAGGAGAAGACAGAGCCTCGGGGGGGCTGGCCGTGAGAGGTGCGTGGCTCTGCAGAGGGCAATGAGGGGTGCGTGGCTCTGTAGAGGGCAATGAGAGGTGCGTGGCTCTGCGGAGGGCCAGGACGGCGCAGGGAAGGATCTCGGAGTCCTCCACGCAGGGACCACCCTCCTCTCAGGCCTGCAGCATGTGGCTCACTGTCCTTTCTGGTCTGCCCTGCTGGGGAAGCCCGCCAGCTTGGACTGAAGGTCGTGTTTGCTGCAGCTCAGAGACAGCAGAGGCGCCACTGGGTGGGTGCAGGCTTGGTTCCGAGTGAATCTGGGCACTGGTCCTGGTGTCAGGCGGCCCAGGCTCCTGTGAGAGCTGGGAGACAGAAGAGCCCCAGGGGTGCTCACATGGTGCTGGGACAGCAGGCTGTGCTTCCGTGAGGGTTACCGGAAGGATCAAACGGCAGGA